TAACCTTAAAATCTCGAATAAATCCTTCAGGCACCGTCTTGCTCAGGCTAGAGAGATAAACCAGACTAACGGCAGAGATGTACATTAAATGGCCAGTTCTACTAAGAACTACTTCCTCACTCTTTCCTGTTTCCCCTTGAAATAAAGTATCCCAAAGTCATGGCCTTCAAAAGCTCCTTCAAGGTAAGCTTTTGGAAAGGCTTTTGAAATAAAGTGGGTACTCCTGTGCCAGGCACTGTAACAGATGCTTCAGGTATACTGGTTCATTTTAGCCCTCATAATGCTGAGCCGGGTGTTCTACCTACTGGAATCTGTAGGGCCAGGATTAAAAAACCAAAACTTTTGCCGGGCGGTGGTGGCGCACGCCTTTAATCCCAGCACTGGGGAGGCAGAGGCAGGCGGATCTCTGTGAGTTCGAGGCCAGCCTGGTCTCCAAAGCGAGTTCCAGGAAAGGCGCAAAGCTACACAGAGAAACCCTGTCTTGAAAATCAAAAAAAAAAAAAAAAAAAAAAACCAAAACTTTTATTTTTATGTGTTGAGTGTTTTGCCTACATGGATGTGTGTCTTCCACATGCATGCCTAGTGCTGTGGTGGCTCATAAGTTTTGCTTTTACTCCATCACTGGGCAAGCTTCAGTGAGACATTTCACTATTGGGATAAGAATTTGTACTGTATCAATCTGGTAATAGAAAAAAATAAAATAATGTCAAAAAAAGAAGTCAGAAGAGGGCATAGGATCCTCTGGAACTGGAGTCAGCAGTGGATGTGAAGCAAGTGCTCTTGGATCACTAAGCCAGCTCTCTAACACATAAAGCAAGGATTTAAAGCCAAGCCAACCACTGATCACCTGGTGTGGGCTGCTTACAGTCTAGTGCAAAGAAAAATGAAATCAGCTTCCTTGGTTAAAGGATTGAGAAAATGCCAGGTGATGTGCTGGGCCTAGTGGCATGCCTTTAATCCCAGTACTTGGGAGGCAGTGCTGTTAACTAAGACACCAAATGAACTGCCCTAGTGACAAACTAGGGTATTCAAGCAGCTTCAAGCAAATTAGTCGACATTCAAATCCGTGAGAACGAACTTGTGGTCAAAGTTTCAAAACTGCCCCTTTGCTATCCCATATTTTTTGTATTTTTTTTTTTTTTTTTTGGTTTTTCAAGACAGGGTTTCTCTGTGTAGCTTTGCGCCTTTCCTGGAACTCGCTTTGGAGACCAGGCTGGCCTCGAACTCACAGAGATCCGCCTGCCTCTGCCTCCCCAGTGCTGGGATTAAAGGCGTGCGCCACCACCGCCAGGCTTGTATTTTTTATTTTTTTATTTTTTTGAGACAGGGTCTCTCTGTATAGTTTTGGTGCCTGTCCTGGATCTCACTCTGTAGACCAGGCTGTCCTTGAACTCAGAGATCCACCCGGCTCTGCTGGGATCAAAGGTGTGCTGCACCACCACCACCACCACCACCACCTCCCGGCTGCTATCCCATTTTTAACTACTCTTCTCACCAAGAGGTGTGCAAGTACGTAATCACAGCATTCAGAAAGCTGAAGCAGGTTTGCCAAGATTGAGACCAGCCAGGGCTATGTAAAAATCTCAATCATACACACAAATTCATGAGCAAGCAATATATACCTCTAATATTCTGAATACAAATTGGTGTAAAAGCACCCACCTGAAATACTGAAGGGGGCAGATAATTTTCAAGAAAAGCCTATTTGACCTGGGTTTGACCCTGGAACCCTTGGTAGGAGAATCAACTTTCAAAAGTTTCTGACCCCCTGCATTCACATTCATGCAAAAGAAAAAAGCTCAACCCATACATGGGCCAGAGAACTAATGCAGCAGGTTAAGAGCAGTGGCTGCTCTTCCTGTAGACCCAGATTAATTCCTAGCACCCACAAGGTGGTGGGTTTGTTGGGGGGCATTTCAACACAGTAAAAATCTCACCCGATGCTTGCAGTCCTCCACTGCTGTACCTAACTCTAAAGACATGGGTTTTCTCTCAGTATCTCCTCCCTCATCTGGCTCCTGCTGGGATTTACAGTGTTCCTCTCACACTAGAATAAAATGGTAGAGGGGCCTCCTTCTGAATGCTAAAAATAGTAAATTACATTAAAAGCTTAAAAAAAAAAACTCACCTGAAAGGTATGTGGCTCTAAGTCAAGATGTTTAAAGGGACATAACCTAAAACCAATAATGTACATTGGAATGTACTATGATGCCTAGAAAACATAGCCAAATCTCCTTAAGTAACAAAGATATAAGTCATATTTTACACCGGCTCAAAGTTAAATCCTAAAGTAGTACTCAGACACCAAGCAGAAACTCAGAGAATTTGTTTATTTCCTCCCCAAAAACCAACTTGCAATCGTAAGAGGTGAGTACAAGCTCATGATTTTATTGTCTTCATAACAAGATCAGCTTAGAACTGGATCACCTGGCCCTGTAAACAGAACAGAAAAACAAAGTGTTGTGTTTTGTAGTATCTTTTTTTCCTGAGACAGTGTTTCTTTGTAGCTTGTCCTGGATCTCGTTCTGTAGACCAGGCTGGCCTTGAACTCAGAGATCTGCCTGCCTCTGCCTCCTGAGTGCTGGGATTAAAGGCGTGCGCCACCACTGTCTGGCCTGCTTTGTAGTTTTTACGGAACCTTACATTATCCATGGGCTCGACACAGAGCTTATTAGTTGGGTGCCTGCCTACCATGGCCCTGGGTTCAATCCAAGACCACAAAACACTTCTAAGGAGACCATGTTGCCTCTTCCTTCCCTAATTGCAGCAAAATCTATACACTGAAATCTTGAAGCCATTTAGATATACTGGTGTTCAAGATTTTTGATTTTTCAGCTAATAAAGCACACGAAAAATCCACAAATCTGAAAACAAAAAATAAAATACTTGCTGGGTGGTGGTGGCACACACCTTTAATCCTAGCACCCGGGAGGCAGAGGCAGGTGGATCTCTCAGTTTCCAGGCCAGCCTGGTCTACAGAGGGAAACAGTGTTGAAAACAAAACAAAAAACATGAAAAGCTCCTGGTCCCAAGCATTTCAGATATGGGATATGTAACTTGTACCTTCAGCTGTGGACAATTATCTTTGAGGGTGCACTATGGCATAGTAAGCTCAGAACAGTTACCCCTACAGATAAAGCAGTTATTTCAAAGAAGGGTACCTTTCTCTTCTTATCGCCTCCCAGTTCAAAGTGCTTGCATCTCTTAATAGCCAGCATCCTCTTCGATCTGCAGTTGGGCTCAACACATTCAAGTCTCAGCACAATCTTCTTTGTAGTTTTAGCCTACAAAAGAAATGAAGTCAAATCCTTCACAAAATTACATTTTTGCCACGATCTGTATTTAGCTATGGAGGAAAAACAAAAACCCAGAAGCCAATGATTTGGAGAACTTAAGATAACAAAGCTGAAGCTTATGTGGTTGTGCATGCCTGTGTTCCCAGCACTCTGGAGGTAGAGACAAGCGGCAGCCACATGAGTTTGAGGCCAGCCTGGGCTACATGGGATTGCCACCCCCTACACACACCCAAAAAAAGCTACTTTAAATTTGTAGCCCTTCAGGCTTTTTGTGCTGTTTACCGGTTGATTCAAATAAAAGCCCGGCCAAATTCACACAAATATGAAATACAACGTATGGAATTCACCAATCAATTTTCTTAATACTTCAGCTAGCCCTAAAATCAGTTAACACTCACACCCCATTAATAATCAACTTCTTAAGTCCACTATTTTGGCCAGTTTTGTTGCTAGTTTGCAATCTGAAAGCTGAAACATGGCCATCTTCCAAACAAACTGGCTGGACATTTAAATGAACAAGCAGTCTCATTACCCTACATCCAATGCAGGACCCAAAGGAAGTCACTTATTTAATTTCTACAAGCAGGCTGGCAGAGGAACAAAGAGATGAACGAAGAAATGCTATGTTCCAAGTAGCTGAACCTTAAGGAACCTCATTAAACTGGAGAATCCAGAATTCAGCCAGTGGAAGGCCTACACACATACTGTAAGAAATTTTAAGACTTCATGAGACTTGAGAAATCCAAATATTCTTCCATGGCAGTACAGGGAATTGAACCTGGGCTGCCTCATACTTGGCGAGCACTCTACCACTGAGCCTCCAGCAACACAGAGCTGAGGATTCAGACATGACAATAAATGAATAAAAGGTCTTGCTGGTGGACACATAATTCAGTTCTTAGGAAAGTAGGGCATATTCCTTCATTTTTGCCTCTTTAGGGGGTACTGTAAATACTGAGATGCTATAGTCTAGATTATAGTCAGATCTGGGTTGACTCCCAGCTCCACTGCCTTGGAAACATCCCTGCCACAAGTGGGATAACTTTGCTGTAATTAACACTAGTAACGCTTGGAGACAAGAGTTGACAAATGCAAGGTCCTTCCCACAATTATCAAGGAACATGTCAATTAGTAATCACTAACCTTTTTGCGGAAAATAGGCTTAGTCTGCCCACCATAGCCGCTCTGTTTCCTGTCATAGCGCCGCTTTCCTAGAAAAAGTAATTTGTTTTGATATGCTACAGATCATATGTCAAAATAGACACAAGGAAGTCTTAAGTTTAAATTGGAGCCGCCCTGAATTAAGAAATTTTGGTTGCACCCGAGAGGAAATATCTGGACTTGTTACTATGTCTCATAAATGTCACATCAAAACCAAGTTATTTACTCCGGCATGGCGAGAAACAGGCACAACTCCAACCCTTCAGAAGTTGAGGCAGGAGGATTGCTTATTCCAGGCCAGCGTGCTTTACATAGTTGGACTTTATCTCCCACAAACTCCCCATCACCGCCTCCTAGCCACCACCACCAAATTACATATAAACAGCTTACCCTGGGCATACAAAGAATCCTTGCCCTTCTTGTACTGGGTCACTTTGTGGGGTTGGTGCTTGCCACATTTCTTGCAGAACGTCCGGCGGGTCTTAGGAACGTTCACCTAGTAAAAAAGTGTTCAGAACATGCAGTTACCAGACCACAGTGGCCCCGCACCCTCCCTGGATCGACATGAAAGTGATTAACTCTACAGCTACTCACTAAAAACACAACGACCGTGTAGATTTAAAAGTCGGTCCTGTCACACGCGCCATCAAACAGTGTATCCACCCACAGCTAAATCAACCCATCGCTTCAACTCTTCCGCCCATAACTCGGCTCCCTGTGTGGCGCTCTCGGCAATGCTAGATTTCTTAGGTACATCGAGGTCTTGCCAGAGCCTTGATGTACTCTGGGACAGTACTGTCTACGCCGGGAGCAAGGATTAAGCTGGATACTACGAAACCCGGACACACGACCATACCATGTTGGCGGGAGCGATATCGGCACAGAAAGAAAGAGGCAGGGCCAGCAACGGAAGTTTATAGGAGGTGCCTGAGTGCACTTCCTCGGAGCCGTGGGAGACAGCTACCATAGAGTCTGTAAGGATCCCGGCGCAGCGCCCTCCGATGGCTGGGATGATTTATCTTAGCCGCGGACAAGAGCTTCAGCCGAGGCTCCGCCTAGTCTGTGGACTCTCCACTTCCTCCCGCCCAGCGCCCCGCAACTTCTTGACTCCATCCCTTTTGGCGGACATTGCAATTTAGCAGCTTAAGCGACGAAAGCAATGCTCTTCCCAGACTCCGATCTGCCGTGTTGAAGCAGAATAGGGACCAGGATCAAGTGGAGGGGTCTTCCCAGCCTAACATTCTCGTTCTGTTTCAAGGAGACTGAAATGATCTTTCACCGCAAACTGTGGCTCAAGAAAGCCCTGGGCGGGGAGCCAATTGCTTTAGTTTATTTAATGTCTGTTCTGTTTCAAACACTGTTGTAGGAGCAAGACATAGTAATTGATTATGCTCATCACTGTCCAATTCCAGGCTAAGTACTTTGAAGAAAAAGAACAATGCAAGCAATACCCTTTTAGCCGAGGAAGTAAATTGGCTGCTCTTAGTTCTGAAAACTGACAGTGAATTTATCTGGCTTCTGAAATAGTTGGACCAACCAAGAATACCTCAGCACTTCACTTCCCTGAACACTTGGCAGAAGACATGTATGAAGTTTCAAGATAGTTCAACAGAGAAAGGCTGACGGGAGCTGAGGGTGTTTTTTTTTGCATGTTTTATGGTTTTTTTTTTTGTTTTTTTTTTTTTAAGTTACGACTGCAGGTAAGCCTGTAGAGCATATTCTTTTTTTCTTTTTTTTTTTTTGGGGGGGGGGCTGAGTTTTAACATTGATTCTCAGAGTGATTCTAGGAGGAAGGTGGTAATGCTACTTTCATTTTCCAGGGGAGGGCATGGATCCAGTAGCATGTGAATCTATTTGTCCGGTGTTAACAGTCGTGGATTCAGGATGCACACCCCACCCCCATGTGTTCTGATGACTCCAGAACCTGGTTTCCTATTACTATATCACACAACATTACCATTACAGCCTGCCCATTATAACAGCTATCTTTGGGGCAGGGAGAGCCTCACAAACCCCAGGCTGGCCTAAAACTCACCTATGTAGCTGAGGATGGTGGGGAACTTCTGATCCTTCTCCTGAATGTTGGGGTCACAGGTATGTGCTATGTGCCACTCGTGTCTGGATGCCTGCCTCTTTTAATCCTGCCAATCTTCGGGAGCTGTTTTCTATTACTAGTATTTACCAAATGAGGGAACCGAGGCACACGAGGCATTACATTCACTTATCCAAAGTCACACATGGATGTTTTTAAAGTTGGAATTCAATCGTAGGCCATTTAGCAGTACATAGGTCTACCCTTACCCAGTATATTACACAGGGAAAGAGAAGCCCCTGCAGGGTAGATGTTTGGGCTAGAATGCAGGCGGAATTAGCGGTGGCCTAGGGGCTAATGTTAGGGGCCCCTGGAGCATCCTGCTTGCATGATGCTCCAGAAATAAGTTGACTCTGTTCACCCACATTTTTATTCCATGGTCTCTGGGGCTAAGATAATAACAACACCATAGCCTACTACATTTCTCTGCCAAGCTGCCAGCCTGAAGACCAGCAGTATTTTCCTTCCTCTGGACTCTTACAAATCTCACTGGCCTTTAGGGAGTTTCTACGGTTTTGTTGTTGTTGTTTGTTTTTGTTTTCCATGTAAGTAATCTGGAGATAGAAAGACCAGGGTTGGGGATTCAGCTCAGTAGTAGAGCGCTTGCCTTGCAAGCCCTGGGTTCAATCCTTAGCTCAAAAAAAAAAAAAAAAAGACAATTAGCCTTCATCTAATCAAACTTTGTTCCTTTAATCACCTTTAATCATTCCCCATGTGATGTGGTTTGGGTTTTTTTTTTTTTTTGATTTTTCGAGACAGGGTTTCTCTATGTAGTTTTGCGCCTTTCCTGGAGCTCACTTGGTAGCCCAGGCTGGCCTCGAACTCACAGAGATCCGCCTGCCTCTGCCTCCCAAGTGCTGGGATTAAAGGCGTGTGCCACCACCGCCCTGCTGGTTTGGGGAATTTTTTTATTTTAAAATATTTAGTTGTCTAAATTGCATATGTTTAAGGTATACAGTGTGATCATATACACTTATCTTGTATAATAACTGCCAGAGTCAAATTAATACATCCATCACCATCCATTGTTGCCTGTGAGTGTGTGTGTGTGTGTGTGTGTGTGTGTGTGTGTGTGTGTGTGTGTGTGTAGGGGTGAAGACACTTAAGTCTGCTCTCTTATCCAACTTCAAATAAGCAATAGAATATTAATACAGTCTCCACAATGCATATCAGACCCCCAGAAATTATTCATCTTACAGTTCAAAATTTGTTTAGCCATATTTTCTGTTTTCTACATGTATCTGCTCATTGATTTCCCCAAAATGAAGCGCTTAGAACTTAAGACAAGACTCTAGGTATAGTCTGTCATTGCACGGTGTATGAGACATTCACTTTCCTCTAGATACTATGCTTCTATTTAAAAAAAAAAAAAAAGCCCAATGTCATCTTGACTTTTCTTTCAGCCATGCGTGTTTCTGACTTGCCATTTCTCTTAGCTGCTATCAGCAAAGCCCAGGTACTATTTTCAGGAGCACTGCTGCCACCTTCTCCCTTGCATGGGTATGGAACACAAGCCATCAGGCTTGGCAGCAAGTGCTTTCTCCTACTAGGCTGGCCATCTTGCCGGTCCATCCACTGGGAGCCTTTTGCGTCTGTTCTGTAAGCGTATTTATTCACACTGTTTGGGCATAGTCCTGTCGGTATGAATGAGTGTGCTGGATGAGTGGTTGTGTGCAAAAGGTGAAGAAGTTGGGGTTGGGGATTTAGCTCAGTGGTAGAGCGCTTGCCTAGCAAGTGCAAGGTCCTGGGTTCGGTCCTCAGCTCTGGAAAAAAAAAAGGTAAAGAAGTAGCTTTATTCTGCCCTTCCCCTTTGCCTCCCTGTCTAATTTCCCACAGTGCTCCTATTAACTAGCAATTCACACCACAATTCCACCTTTAGAAAAGAGGGAGCCGGCCGGGCAGTGGTGGCACACACCTTTAATCCCACACTCGGGAGGCAGAGGCAGGTGGATCTCTGTATCTCTGTGAGTTTGAGGCCAGCCTGGGCTACAAAGGGAGTTCCAGGAAAGGCGCAAAACTACACAGAGAAACCCTGTCACGAACAAAACCAAAAAAAAAAAAAAAAGGATGGAGCATGTGACAAGGAGCATCTGATTGAAGAAAGGGGGAGGGATGTGAATGTCTGTGGTCACTCCATTGGAACAGTTACTGCATGTGACCAGGGAAAGGACATACCGGTCAATAAAGTAGGGAGCCTTATAACACTTGGTGCCCATCCATCTGTACCAATGTAATGATTTACCAATCTGCCAGTCTATAAATGCTTTTAAAAAATATTGGTGCTTTCGGAATTCTGACCAATTTGGGGGATTAGTGATATGTTTCTGTATTAGGGTGTAACATCTCAGGGTAAGGCAATATGAAAGTGCCCCATGAGTGAAGATGGACGAAGAAATCAGTCACCAGGGGCTCTGCCACCATCATGTGGCAGATACAGGCTGCATTTCTTTAGAGAATCCTCTGGGAAAAGACAGGAGCTGGGATGCAACCTAGGGACTTGCCGAGGAACCATTCAGGCTTCAAATAACACATCTAGTCTTGTTTACTGCTTTACAGAATCAAAGAAAATGGTGTAAATTATTTATCTTTGAGAGAAAAAAATTGAGACAGAATTTCCTATGTTGTCCAGGCTTTCCACTTCCATTGCCCTAGTAGCTGAATTATAAATGTGTTTCCTCATGGTTAAGGTCATAAGGCTGAATCTTGAAGGGAGAATATTCACAAAAGAACAGTCACAAAAAAATGGGGAAGGGCACAAGTCTTTGTGTGGGCTTACACTCGGGCATATTTATCTGTAGAAAAAAAAAGCTTTCTTAGAAAATGACTCAGCAGGGGAAGTCTTGTCTCTACCTCTGTCAGGCCATGTATCTCAGGGTCTCTGAGTGAGCCCTCTTTGTCCTTCAAGTTGAACTGCGTGACCCTGAGTCTCCCCTGCTGAGGGGACAGGAGACTTTAAAGACACTGGCTTTGTTCTGGGTCTTGCCAGCTTGGGCATCTCTTTTCTTCCTGGGCTGATCATCCCCCACAATCCTTTAGGTATGTCATCCCTTTACCCCAGGGAGGGTAATCTGATGACCTGTTCGTTCGGTCCAGCCCCATCATCTTTGGGGACTCAGCCACCCCAGCAATGGTAAGATTCTGTCAGAGCTGGACTCTCTTGGTGGAAGAGGTTCCAGGCGAATGAGGGTGGGGAGAGTTGGGGGCGGGGGTAGACCAGGGACAGCAGCACGGAACCAGATACCATATTGTTAAGAAGAAAAAAAGGCATTGGTTTAAGTCAGGAAACAAAAAAAGGGAACTGAGTGGCTGTGAAAGGGTGGGGTTTGTTCAGACTGTCCTTCCTCTCTGGACTGTAAGAATATGTCTCCAGGGCCAGTGTCTTCAGAGACCGAGTCCCACCTTCCAAGTCCCGGCATCTCATTACATCTGGGAAGCTACCTGCATTAAGTCAGAACTGAGGTGGGTCTGAGGTGAGGCAGAGCCTGGGCACAGCCATAACTACTTCTCTTGGAACCTTCAAAGGCCAGACAGGAAACATGGCTGGTTCCATGTATCTGCTGGTGGAGGAGACTCATGGAGAGTGGGAGGTCAGCAGCAGAAGACCCTGGCATGCCCTTCCAATGATGGAGGGGAATGTAAAGGTCTTCTGAAGACAGCCAGTGTGGTGGGCTGGTTAGAAGACGAGGAAAGAGTGATCTGAGCATCTGAAAAGGTAGCCAGTGTTAGACATGGAGCTCTGCAGCTCTTGGTGGGAAAGAAATACCTCATGCAGTAGTAGGGTAAAAGCAAGCCACTTTCAGCAAATACTGCTTGAAGACCTGGAATGCGTCCTCGTATCAATGAGACCCTTAGAAGAAGGGATTCTAAGCGGCCGCTTAATCTGCAAAAACTCTAAAACAGCTCATGTGTCTCAAAAGTGCTAACTGGAGAAAGGTCTGGGCTACATGGGCCGGGTGCAACTTGGTTTGGCCTTCAACAGGCCAAATATTACCAGGATGAAAGCTGGCTTATAGGAATGACCGTGTGGAGGCTGTGGCAACCTCGTGGTAATAGTGGGTAGGAGACAGAGCCAGCGGAAAGCAGCCTCCGCCCCAGCTGAGACGGTGTGGCCAACCCCTGAGGTCTCTGGGAAGATTTTCCTCTTACCATTGCCTACCATGTGCATGGCTGCCTTTTCTTTTGGCTTCATTATTTCTCCTCTCGTTTCCTTTCCCCTCCCTCTCCTTCCTCTTCTTTTCCTGGTCACTATCCCCTGATCCAGAATCAGCACGCAGTAGCCTTTAAATCGCATCACATTTATTTTGCCACTTTCTCCTCAAGCTATTTCCCTTTCTCTTCCCGCTTCCCACCTGCCTGTTACTCTGTTTGGAAGTTATTGCCGGGACTTAACGTGTAAATAAATGTGAAGTCGTTAAGACAGGCCCCTGGCAAGCGTAAGCGCTGTCTCTCAGCAGTCATTGCTACTTTGGTTCCTCCTGAGCCCTGCCAGTGGCCCATAGGGCTGGTCTAGGGGCAAATGGTGTGAAATTCAGACTCAGATTGCTCTGATCCAGCTGATCGAGACATTCTGGAGTGAGTGGCCAGACCTCCAAATGGTATCTTATCTAC